ATGGTCAGAATGGGATATAAGATATTATTTGCTTATGAATTTAATATTGGAGTACTGTTAATCCATTTAGGTTAGAACTAGAAGTGGAGTAGGATGTTTAGTTGCTTTTGTGAAATTTCAGATTTTGGAGGTACAGTTAAGTTTTAATTGTGATCTCTTTGGCAGTCCCTAATATGTGCTCCTGTATAGTAAGCCAGGTATGTTTCTCTTTTGTATGCTTTGCTTCCACTAGGGTAATACGGATTTTAGAGGTAGTGATTCAGCATGTTGTAATGGAAAAAAACAAACAAACAAAAAAAACAACACTAGATTTGGAGTCCAAAGACCTGGGTTGGAATCTTAGCTCTGCTGCTCAGAACCTGTGTTTCATAGATTTTAGAGCTAGAAGGGACTCTGGAGAAAATCTAGTGTAACCCACTCATTTTAAAGAGGAAACTGAGGCCCAGAGAGTTTTGGTGACTTGCCCAGTAAACCCAATATTACTTAGTAGATCGACTGTGGCCTCTAGGATAAAATGTAAACTCAACTATTTGGCTATTAATTGCCTTCACAACTTGCCCTCATCCTACTAGCTTTATTCTACATTATTCTCCTTTTTGTTCCCTACAGTCTAGATAAACTGGACAACTTGTTATTCTTCACACACTCCTTTCTCTTTGCTTTACCAATGACCATTCCCCATGTCTGCAAGGTTTTTGTCTCTGCCTTATAGAATCCCTTACTTCACCTTAAAGACTTAGCTCAAGCACTAGCTTCTCTAAAATCCTTTCCTGAGTTCCTCAATTGCTAATATCTTCTTTCCTTCAAGGACCTTGTACTTATTTTGCATATGTTCCCTAACTCCCCCCTCCTACTTGCCATCAATCACAATAGGATATAAGTTTCTTGACAGCAGAGGCTGTTTCATTTTTTTCTTAGTATCTATAATGCCTAACAATACCTGAAACATAGTAGGTATCTTATAAATTCTTTTTGATTGATTGATCACCTAAACCCACACAGGTAGAATTTGAACCCAGGCCCTATGACTCCATACCTAGTGCTCTTTCCATATTATCTTTGTACAATCTTGGACAAATCTCTTAATCTCCCTGGATCTCAGTTTTCTCCTTATGTAAAATGGCGGGATTGGGAGGAGAGGGTTTGGCATCTAAGATCCCATCTAAGTTCTATGAATATCCTATGAATTGGATATTTCTACTAAAAAGCTGGGGTGCTACTTTGAGTACTAGCCACTCCTTAAACACTCATAAGTGTGCTTATTCTCTTGTCTGAAGGAAGTATAGTATTAAAAAGTTAACTTGACCACGCATAATATGTAGTTCACCTTTGGCCATAACTTAAAACTAACCCAAGCAGAGAAGAGAATGTTGCAGACATTTGCACAGACCAGCCTTATAGTGAAAAGCCTATCAAGCTGGCCAAGACTGGACATTGAATGAACTTCCTACGTCAGCGTTTCTGACATGAAAAATAATTCTCCTGGAATTCTCTGCATAACACACAGGGATCAACAACAACAACAAAAACTACTTGAGATTTTTAACAGAAAAAGGAGATTTGTTTATTAATAATTCATGAGTTCCCATTGAACATGCACGACAGAAACAGTGCTATTCAATAGAGAATACTGTCATCTGTCACTGTTTTATTTGACATTTACACTTTTTTTTTTGCCTGATCCTGCAAAACTTTCTTGGATGGCATGCAAAGATTATATAAATGAAAAAAGGGGAAAAAAAATCTCCAACCCAATCCAGGAGACTTCATTTCTTCTAAAGGGGGTTTACAAACTGTTATAAAGGTATTATTTTTTTTGGTAGAGCAACAGTATTGGCATTTCCCCCCATGTTAGCCACCGTGCCAACTAGTAATAGACTATGTATAAGACAGATAAGCATCTCCAGTGAGTGGGGTGAGGGACGGTATGAATAAGCAACTGGAGGGAGGGATGAGAAAAGAGGTAAATGGATAAATTTGTTGAAGATAAACAGAGAATACACAGAGTGAGAAGGGTACATCAGAATGAGGGGGAAACAAATAATGGCTGTTATGGAGAAAACTGACAAAAATAAATTGCTGTTTCAGACACAAAATAAATATTTATAAGTGGCATCAAAGGGAGACCCAATAGTATAAAACATGGGAATGTAAATCGGGCATTTAGTAGAATGACAAGTTAGAGTTAGGACCACCTTGCAATCTCTTGCTAATATTAGGCTCATGAAAATCTTTCTGCTCTGTAGGTTAGTTATTATTTATAAAAATCACAGAACCAGCTGATACATTCATAAGCTAATTATTGTAGCAGCTGGGTACACATGGTGCAATATGTCTGAGGCTGTGAAGTATCACAGATTTCTTGGGGCCTGCTGTGGTGGGGGTGTGCTGTTGAAGGCTAGATCCCTTAATCTGATCAGCCAAGCAAATACTTTGTGGGGAAACTAGATTAATAACCCTCTAAATACCACGAATGTGCTTCACCTTCAAAACTGGGTTCTCCTAAACATGCCATTAGCTTAGTACCATCCGGGAATTGAGAAACTTCTCTAGTGTCCTAAGGACAGGGTCTTGTCTGACACTGCCCTGTGCCAGAAATTAATTTGGTTTGCTTATGTCTGCACACATGGTCACACTTGTGTCTAATCTGCTCCCTAATAGTTTCAAGGTCAGGACCTTGCATGTTGCTGGGCAAATTGAGCACTATACTTCTTAAAGACTGATGGCAGAGAGCACACAGTCCATAATGAGGCCTGTAGTGTTGTTCTAAGTGATTGTAATGAGTGCAGATTATAGCAGTGCATATAAATCAAATGCTGCAATGACTGTTGTGTGAGACATTCCAAGTTTCATAAGTGGAGATACCACTCAGCTGTCACCTGTCTCATTTCAAGCTAAGGCTTCCCACAATGCAATTCATGCCTCAATCAGAACAGCAGGTGCTGTCTTCCTTAAGGTCTGGGTCTTTCAGAACTTCATCTTTTAACAGATGTAGGTTTTTGTTTTTATTTTCTGTTAAATGATTGGTCTTCATGCTCTAGCATCCCCTGGGAGATGTTAAACATACCTGTTTGAAACATTTGAAAGAGTTCAGTTGGAGACTTATTCAGATCTGTGAAAAGATAGAGAAATAGAAGCTTATTTTTTCCACAGATGGTTTAATTTTTCATTTCAGATATTCCTTCCTTTGTACAAAGAAGCCCCTGAGAAATCACTTTGGGATTAGGAGATTTTTTTTGGAAGGGACAAAAGTTGTGGAGTTTTAAATTTTATCAACATTCACATATATGTACAACACTTAGGCCTATGCATATATGTATACATATATGTACATGAGCACATAGACACACATGCAAATATATGTGTGTATATATTATGTATGTGTATATATATATATATATTTTACACACACACGCACATATATGCACATACATACACTAGTAAGTATATCATGTTTTTAAAATGCCAGCCATCACCTGACTTTGGGGTTAGCCAAAATATCTATGAAAATACTTGGGGAGTGAAAAATTCCAGGCAGATGATCAGATATCTCCTTTTCATTCTTCCTCACCCTCTCACCACCCTCAGCTCCCAGCTTACTGCAAGAAAAGATCAGGTCTGCGCAAATGTGGCCTCTCACTTGTAAAAACAAGGCAGTGTTGTGTTACAGATTAGTTTATAAATCCCCAGTGGCTTCACAGTTCAGTGCCTACAGCTGCTGCAGATGGGCCTGGGTTTTTGTCTCTTCACTGTGCTGCAGCCGGCAGTTGAAGGAGAAAATGGAATGATCAGGTTATTAACATGTAGGCCATGAGGAAGAGGCTGCACAATGAGAACAGCTGGTGTTGCTGTCTTGGCTGAGGCAGCGGAGATAATCAAATCTTGCCTTTTTTTTGGGGGGGGGTAAAGACAGAAGACACAGTGGAGAGTTAGACAAACAGCGGCTTATGATATTATATGGGGTTTTTATAATGCATGTCATGAGCTTTCATTGGCTTATGAGTTATGGGATGGATTTTTTCTTTCCTTTTTTGAAAAAAGTTAACGTAACTTCATGAGTACTAAGGTAATTGTTTTTAAGCTTTATTATTTTGGAAAAGCAAGAAGAACAAGGGCACTTCTTGATTTAAAAAAATAGAGCTATAGCTTGGAAATGATGGGCTAGAAAGCTAGTAGGTAAAATATTTTGACATGAGTCAGTAAGTGATGTTGACAGCATCCTCTCTATTATTTTCGTATAATCCATCATTATTTGCATTACACTCTTCGTTCCTCATGCAGTTACAATAGACAGAGAACATCCCAACCAAAGCAGAGAAGAGAACCTTCTTGGTCTTCCTCATGTAGTCATGACCCTTAGAGAAAGGTACCACTTAACAGCTCTTGGCTCTGAAGTCACTGACAACTGGACCGTGGTCATCAAAAAAAAAAAAAAAAGACAATGGCTGAAAAAAGATTTTGCTTTTTAGTCCATTTTTGAGTGCCATTTTTCATTTTATGATATTCTTGGCAATTACAAGAAGACTCCATTTCTCTTAGTATTGTTTATATTTGGTTATATCTGTTCTTCAGAACTTGCCCTTTTGAAATACAGATTTGGTTTTCTGCCCCTTTCTTATGGTTGAAAGGTTGACTGGATAATTTTGCTGTGTTTTTGAACTGTAGTTCACCAACGATATCTTTTGAATGCCTTTTTTTTCTTATTATTTTGGGTCAATATAGTCTTTTTTTTTCTTTTTTTTTCAGTTACTTTAAACTTAAGGTTTCTGAAGTTCTGTAGGATGTGGAGGAAAATAATTAAGACACTGACTCATGGTGTGTAAAAAGCAATTATGATTTGGGGTTTTCAGAGAGCTTAGGGTATAACATGAATTATCTATACAGCTAGAGGGAAAAAAACTTAGAAATTCTTGAGTAGAGCCTGCATTTCTTTTGAGATCAAGAACATATCTGATCCTTCTACCTCTTGGAAGTTAACTCCTGTGACCCTCTCTTTCTAGGGCTGGCTGTGTGAGCTACTCCGCTGGAAGGAAAACCCAAGTCCAGAAAACCGCACCCTCTGGGAAAACCTGTGCACCATCCGCCGCTTCCTGAACCTTCCCCAGCATGAGAGAGACGTGATCTATGAGGAGGAGTCCAGGCATCATCACAGTGAGCGCATGCAGCATGTTGTCCAGCTCACTCCTGAGCCTGTGCAGGTCAGAGCAGTAACTTTCTTACTGAATAAGACTTTGTGTTTGTAGCTGCTGTAAAAGGTCCAAGGAGAACCTGGCTCCAGCTTCCTTCTGCTTTGTAGGCTGTCGGGCAGAATGTGTGTAGGTGCACTAATGCACATTTCAAAGGCAGATCTCCTGAGTTCTGAGAATGCCCACCTGTTTGTGCATCTGCACAAAAATAGTGATAGGAAGATTTAGAGCTGAAAGAGACTCAGAAACCACCTAGTCCACCCTCTTCTATATAGTCAGGATTCAAACCCAGATTCCTTGACCCTGAATCCTGCCATCTACTGCCAAGCTAGAGTTGTTTTCATCTATGATATCACAATGCCAAATCACTTCACATGGAACATCATATCTATGCAGAATAGATAATGGTTTTAATCCCAACAGTAGACTTTCATTAATTTAGAAATATCCTCAAAGAATGATTTAGCTAAGACAGGGGAAAGAAGCAGCTACCAGGGAAGTCTTAACCTATCTTATTAATGTTCTGCCTAAGTCATCCAATATCTAGGTTTTTATTGTTCTATCAAGATCATGATCAAATGGACTTGTCAGGGGCAGCTAGGTGGTGCAGTGGATAGAGCACTGGCCCTGTACTCAGGAGGACCTGAGTTCAAATCGGCCTCAGACACATTACTGGCTGTGTGACCCTGGACAAGTCACTTAACCCCATTGCCTAGGCCCCCCCCCCAAAAAAAGAACCACTTCAAATGGACTTGTCTATTTAAATAGCAAATCAGGAAATAACAATTGTTTTAGTAGTTTGGATTTTTTTGGGTTCCTTAATTTCATCTTCTTTGAGAGAAAGGGCATTTATTTCTGAAATAAGTTGATTTACCCCAGAAAGAACTAGTAGGTTATTCTTAGACCAATATTTCTAGATGAAGGAAGAACTAGCTGACAGATCACCAACCCCCATCTACCACCGAGGAAGAAATTCTAGGGATTTCTCCCTTTGGTCCACTTTAACTCTCAGGTATTTGATCCATTAAGGAGAGGGAAAGCAAAAGAAGTGTATAGATTCAGGTGCAGACGCTGCTGGGCTCCTGGCAAGAAGGAAAAGATAAGGATGTTTGAATTTCTCATATCACTTCGCTCATCTACATCAGATATAGCTCCTTTCAATCTGCCTCTTTTCTCAATGCGTCCTTTTCTCTTTTCTCAGGGGTGGCCACCTTTACCTTGGTAAAGAGCCCAGAACAAAATGGGTCTAATGCATCCCTTCTTAGCCAAGCTGAGTGTTATTCTACTTGGTGCTTTCAGGCAATGGTTTATGAATTTCCAAAAGAAAACTCAGAGCAAATAGTTCTCCCTCTTAGAATCATAGGCATTGAATATGGAAGGGACTTTAGAGATCATCTCACCCAAGGGTTTATTAACCTGTGGTCTAGTAAGTGGTTTTTATGATATTTTGATAATGGTATTTCAAGCCAATTTGTTTCTTTTGTGACCCTGTTTTATTTAAGACATTTAAAAAAATTATTCTGAAGAATCCATAGGCTTCACTAGGCTGTCAAGGGATCTGTGACACAATAAAAGGTCAAAAGCCCCTGATTTAGGCCAACCTACTCATTTTATAGATGGGAAAACTGAAATCTAGCAACGTGAGTAGCTTATTCAAGTTATGAAACTAGTCACTGGTGTGACTAGGACTAGAAGTCAGGACTACTGATTCCAAATGCAATGTTCTTTCCTACCAGGTATGGATATGAATAATTCATTTTTTTTCACAGTGACCTCCAAAGCAATGGGCAAATGCCGAGGTAGTCATAAGACTTTGTATCCATGGGCTAAGACCTATTAATTATTCTCCTTTCCTAGACTAGACGGGAACCTCACCCGAACACCAGAACATCTCATCCTAGGATTTTAAATAAGTATCTTGGAGGGTCTTGATAATCAAGGGACCATTGATAGTCTATACTTTGAGGATAGCAAGTCTAGGGCACAATTAAAATCCATATTGAAATGAGTAGGTAATAACTGAAAGGTACCTTGTTCTAGTTACCAGTGAACATGTGTTTTATAGAATAGCTATGAAACTCAGATGTTCAGAGAGGCTTGAAGCAAGAGTAAGGACATAGAGTGTAATAAATCTGATGAAGACTCCTGAACCACTCCTATTCACCTTATTCTTTGTTCTTTGTTTCTCGTTGCTGTGAGCTTCTAAAACTTGTGTTCTTTTTTTTTTAAGTTGCTTTGCTTATATGAAATAAATAGTATCAATAGGTGACTGGTGGATCTGTGGGTTTGGCCATGTTTTTGATGATATGCCAGCACTCGTAGACTCCTTTGAAAGTAGGACTAAAAGTATTTTATATGCCTAAGAAATTCATCAGGAATTGATTTGTGTCTGGTAATTTATTTATTTTGTTTTATTTTCAACTCATATGTACCTGTGGCTGAGTTATTTAAATTCTTTGAGTCTCAGTTTTCTCATCTGCAAAATGAAGATAATAACATTTGGGCTCTCTGGCTCCTCAGGTTGTGATCAAATACTGTGTAAATTGTAAAGAGCAATGTAAAGCTAAACAGTGATTAATTGATAAAAGATTCTATTCAGCACTTAGATCTTGCCCCCATTGTGATTACATGTAAGGTTTTATATTTTTATTTTTAATGAATGACCTTGATAATTTAGCCTGCTTAAAAAGGAAAAAAAAATTCACATAACCTTTTTTTTTTTACAATGTCTCTGAGTGACACTGCTGCATTTATATTTGTCAGCAAGTTACAAAGCTGTGGATTAATTATTTATTGCAATCATAATATGAAAAATGAAGAAAAATGAGTGGAACCAGCTGGCAAGTAAATATAGCAGAACTTTCGAGACTGTTGAATGCAGTTGGCCTAGCACATATGATCGGGGGAGGACTATTCTCTGAAAAACCTTTGCCATGACTGTCTGGCTTCACAAGGCAGGCCATGGGGCCTCTTCCCTCCCTCCTTCTATGCCACCCCCTTGAGGTGATGAGATGGTTCTTGAGGGTTCCTCCAAGGCTTGAAATCACTCTGTAGAGTGACATAAAGCTCTTTTTTGTCACATGCACTCACCCACCAATTGCTGGAAATAAACCCTCTTTATATATGTGGTATCAAATTCAGTATATCCCTCTGGTACATTACTTCCAGCTCTAAAATGTTAGGAATCACCTTTTATTTCCTATATCATGAACAAAGTGCTTCAAAAATACTTTATAAAATAAATATGAGCTATACACTGGGAGTTTATGGTTCAGTTTTAGGCAGTATAAAGTAGGTGACAAGATATAGTCAAACATCAAGTGAAAAGAATATTTTTTTTTATTCTGACAGGTCTGGGGCCTAATTATAACTTGTGGTTTTAAGTGTTATGGTGTTATAGTTCTACAATTGTGTTTTCAGTTGTTATTACAACCTGAGGCCCGAAAAGTGAATGAATATCCTTGACATGTGACCAAAAAAAACACAGTTGGGTCAAAGTATTCGTTATTAGCCACTGTACCTCTGGTTGTGAAAACTAGAGCAAAAACATTCAACCTTGCCTGAAGTCAGGACTGGAGAATTAAAAACCAAAGAAGGTGCTAGCTGCTGGTCCTTGCTTTGACCACATTTCTGTCTTAATGTGGTAGAAAGCAAAGGGAATCGTTCACGGTGTGAATGGGTCACTGAACAGGCTTGATTTGGGGCACTGGCCAAATTGTGCCTGTGCCAGTTATACCTTACTGCTTTATTAGGTTTCCATCAGAGTATTTTTTCCATGAGTTATTTTGTAAGTATGTTCATCTTGAGCTTGTGGCTGCTACAGTTTTAAAACCAGGGTTTCTCTTAAAGTCCTTTAGAATGGGTGTCATCAGTGACAGTTACCAACATATTGAGTTTGTCCTAGCTTGATGTTTGCTGACCAGATTGAGTTGTTCAGGGATTTAAAAACACACAGTTAAATTTCTTGTAATTAGTGTGGAAAGGCAGTGTGGCATAATGGATTAAGAGTGGCTCTTGGAGTTAGGAAGACCTGTCCCTGGTACTTACTGGCTGTGTGACCCTGGGCAAGTCACCTAACCTCAAAGTGTTCCCTGGCAACCCTTTAAGTGACAGAGTGCATACTAATTGGCTTTCCTAGAGTCTATGCTTCATTAGGAGATTTCTACACTGATAAAATCAAAGGCTCAATCAAAATAATAACTGGAGTACGAGAGTTGCTTTTAATTTTATAAAGGTATTTAAGTAGCCAAATAATAGCAATTTGTAAGGATGGGGGGGAGATATCCACAAACAACAACAACAACAAGAAAACCAAACAGTTTAGTGATTCATCTAAAGCAAATTAAAAAAAAAAGCACAGCCATGCCTGAACTCGTTAAGTATATTCAGTGTCCTGTATAACACTAAATAATTGGAATGATTGCATTCTTCACTTTTGTCCATGTGATTTGGCGTCTTGTTGGCATCAGACCCACCTCCAGGATGGGAATGTTATTTCTAATCCTGAAAATCATTTTGCATTTGCATTACCATCTTAAAGCTACCATCATCCTTACCTGCATCGTCAGCATGTCCTAGAACTTGTTTTGTTAATTGTTGTTACAAAAAAAGGCAAATTACTAATACATAAATGAATAACTAGAAAAGGAAGTTTGCAAATCCAGGCACCTGGTTACTAGGAGACAGATTTCTTCCTTCTTGGATTCATCCCAGGCTCTGTGTTCAAAGCCTGCTGTTTGAATGTGGCTCCAGGGTTTTGAAATCCCACTCCAGGCCAGTGCACACATGCAAATGAACACTTGCTGTTTTAAATGGATGAATGCAGTAGTTATGTTCAGGTGCTTTATTCTCATTTGAGGAGATTGGAGGAGTGCCTGACCAACAAAGAAAGACCGCACTAGTCTTCTGAATATTTACTGAATACTGTGTTGATAGAGAGCTAGCCTCAGAGTTAGGAGAACCTGTGTTAAAGTTATGCCTCAGGAATGCAAGTTGTGTGACACTGGATAAGT